TTTAAACTCTTAACATTGACCTTATCCAATAATCAACCTGAGACCGACGTAAAGCAAGTGAGAGGATCATTTTTTGAAATACGTTCCAAGGATTAGAGATAAGAATGCATTATATAACAATCTTTTGTAAGCACCATGCAGAAAACTAAAGTAAAAGCTGAGATTTGTTTCAATAATATTATTGCTAAAGCTGAATGGTTTTGCTTTTCCAAAAGAAAGATTGAGAAATTTAAAAAAATTGCCACTTTTTAAGTCCTATTTTACAAAAATGCCATATTTTTGAAATTTTTATAAAAGTGCCACTTTTTAAAATTATTTTTTCTTTATATTATTTATGTTTGAGTTAATTATGTTCTATCATAGTTTAGTTTTGTGTGTTTAGAAGGTTTTAGGTGTCAAAATATTTTTTAGGGTTTATAATTTTAAGATATAGGCTTTATAAATCTATAATTAGTCATTTTTGTAAATAAATACCCCTAAATGACATTCTTGCAAATGTGCACACAAAAAGTGATATTTTTGTAATTACCCCTTCCAAAATTGTGTTTTCTCTATATAAATAAGTGATTAGATAATTAAAAAAGTGATTAGAAATTTAAAACACGGAAATACTGTATTGGCGTTTATAACTTATACGCGTATATCCCTTATTTTGTAATCTTTTTGTTTCCAAACTCTTCAATCACATAAACTAGTTTTCTTTTTACTCGAATGTAAAAATATCTTTCAAAAAAATTAATTTTTAATTTTGGTGATTCAGATGCAAATTCCCTTGACATCGTTTTATCCTAAAAATACAAAAATTTCCTCGGTTCGAGATAAACAAAAAAATCTCTTTAAAAATCTAACAGAAAAGGAGATAAACTAATCCTCACTAACATTTTTCTTCTTCCAAATCGAAATGTGGCGAGGGTTGCTGCTGCGAAGAATGACACAAATCTATCGAACAAGTTTTATTTATAATTTTTATTTAAAAAAGTTTATTCATAATTCATGTACACTATGTAATCAACCACGCCATCTAATTTTTTTTGGGGCAATTACA